TAATATATTATATACAAAATATAATATATTTAAGAAAATATATTACTTGAATTTTTTAAGAAGAGACCAGAAAAGGAGAATTGTAATTTTGTCAATTACAGTGTTTCGAACAAACAATTCAATGAAAGCTTGAATTGAATTATTATTTGTATTATAAGGTATATATAAACACACTGATGCACACTAAGGTATATACACTGTTTATTGAAATAGTATTCTTAGAGAGATTGAGAAATATCTATCAAATGTAGCAAATACTAATGTTAGCGAGTGGCACAGAGTATTTTTTTATGTATAATAAAAATGTTTCTAATGCGATTGAAATAAAAATTAATATTATTTTACAATTTCTTAAGTTTAACCTTTATTATGAAATATAAATTAAAATATTCCACTTCAACACTAAAAACGTAATGTGGTTCTATAAATAACTACTATGAAATGCAAGCTGATAAAGTTTCTCTTAAATTAAAACTTTCTATGTTAGGCAGCACTTTTCTATGAAATTTAAATAACCTGGGTAAGTGTCACTTTAGAGATGGGTTAGATTTCGTTTAATTCCCCATGCAACTAACTGACTTATCATTCTCGACCGAAAAATAAAATTATTCTCATAATTTGAAAGTTGCAAGTTACATAAATAATTATTTTTAATGAAATTATTTCTCTGTTTTTTTTTCTTCACAAAATGTTTTCGTAATAACACAAAGGATACTTCTAAACTTACTTTAGAGCTTATTTTATTATTATTACAAGTAACGACTTACATGAAAAGCATTTGACCTTAACAACTTGACCCTTATTGTACCATTAATAATTGATTAATGATTTGAACGAAATGTAATCAATCACATGTTGGTAATCAATGACTTAAAGTGATAAGAAAAAGTTCCCTTTTTTAATGTGTACTGTGTTGAAGGAATAGCGGAAGTTTATATAGAATTATCTTGTAAATCGTTTCCATTAACATAATCTATGTTAATGAAAAAACCTTTTTAGTATTTTTTTTTGAAGTTATCACAGTGTATAAAAAATACAAGTCTATGAATATAAAGTTTGGATTAAGCACTTTATGCGATGATTTTATCCGGGAGTTAAATTTAAGTTACAAGAAAAAGTTCTAATTAAATAATTGAATTTTTTTCTAAAAAAATAATATTAGTGATTAAAAATTCAGTTCGACACAATACTGAGTAAAAAAAATTATAAATAATGTAATATAAAGAGCAAGAAAAGCAATTGTTGTAAAATACTTGTGAGAAATCACAATCATGACAATGACTATGTTGCCATATGATTAGTTGCATCTCGTTTCATAGGAGTATTATTTTGTTTCGCTTTTTTAACAAAGGAGAGTTCGAAGTTATCTTAAAATTATTGATGGTAAAAATAACTGGTTACTCAATCTCTTATTTTGAAATTCGTAATCCAAATTTAAATTTAAATTATCAAATCAATTGAAGTTTAAATGATCAAATGATCAAATTTCCGAAGCAATTTCGTTAAATTGATGATATATAGAATCTAGATAACGATGATCCTGATTTTAGAAAGTAACAAAGAGTTTGACTGCAGTTCCTTCAATTTTTTTTCATTCCTTTTGTACCAGTTAAAAAATTATATAAAAATGAACAAATCCCTCCAACTATTTTTTACCAAAAATTAAGACAATTGTTCTTATCAGAAAGTTATTTTTTCTTTAAAAATAATTTTATAACACCAAATAACCTCTTTATGCTTTGGTGTACTTCGATTTTTTTTCATTTTCTTCCTTTAATTCATTACAATCAATTTTTAAAGGATGATTTAAAAAGGCATCACAAGGTTACAGAATTTTTTTCTTCATAAATTCTTGATTAAATTATTTTGATTTCATTTAAATCTAAGATCTGGCAGAAGATATCAAGTGTTTGTAGAAAACAAAGAAAACAACGCAAAAATCGCAGTTGTAATTAAAATAGATAGCATAACATACAAGTTCCAATAATATTGCATTTGCATTGTACCATTATATTATGCACTTATTAATTTGAATTAATCATACTAAATCCTAATATTTTTTTCGTTTGCCTCGCTCACTAAGGTTCTAGGTATTGATGCATACTCTCTGGCGTATATTGATATGGTGACATCTTTTCCTCTATTATTATCGTCGTGATGTTCAAAAAAACAAGTGTAGTCCACAGTAAGCCATTCGTGTGAAATGTTTTTATTTGAAATTTAATTTTTCTAATTAGAGTTTTCATTTGCTAAGAATATACATATCACAATATACTTTACACTGGAGTATCATCTCCAGAACAGTAATGTAGCAACAAAACTCATATTCTATTTTAGATCATTTAAAACAATGTATCTGAGATCTTTTTGCATAGCACTTTTGTCTTTTAATGATGCGGTTTTTATTCTTTTTAATATATCAAGTGATCGATTGACATCATAAGATAATTCAAGTCCGACAAAAAATAGTTATACCAAGAAGATACATGTTAGTTTTTTTTATTTATTTAATAAATAATTTGTTTGCTTTGAAGAGGATATCTTAGTCAGCACAGTTAATAGACTATTTTGTATAAATAAATTATATAAACTGAAATTTCGATTGCGTGTCTTTTTTCAGAGTGAGGCATTTCTTATTTATTTTCATAGTTTTTTTTTAGGTTTCGTTTTTTCTAACTTAACTCTAATTTTTCTTTCTAAATTATTTTTAATTTAATTTTTTTCAATTCTTTTCGAGTAATTTTAAAGTTTTTTTTATGCCATTTAATGTTTGTAAGCCTCTCTTCTTGATCCAAAGCAAACCTTTAGTGTTAACCACATTTATAAGAACAAAGTCTTTTTTTATGTTTTCTGAAGTAATCAGGAGCTGCCTGAAAATTCTATAGGTGAGTAAATAGCTTACTATTGGCATTTACAAGTTAATGAAGTTGGAGGTAAATTTACTATTGTATAAAGGGTTAAAAAAATTAAAGTTAAAATGTAGGAAGGAATTTAATCAGAACTAAAATCCCTCAAAATTGCATAAAACTTGATGTAACAACTTTTTTTTCAAGGTATCCAACTAGTTTCCACAACTTTTTTTTAAAATATTAACATACAATTTTAAGAAAACTAGTTTATTTGTTTTATTATGTGTTGAAACTTGTAAAACTAGCAGAAAAAGTTTTATTATTTTATGTTTGTTTTTTAAATGGAAATTTTCAGATAAAAATAAGACATTTTTTTTTTGCATATACTCCAAACTTTGTAAAAAAACTTTCCTTCGTCCAAAACAAAAACTCATTTGAGGATTTCATTTAGAAGGTTATTGACTATGTTTTGAATTATTATCTGAAAAGTAAGTGCTTATACTACTGAATTAAAGATCAATAAAGTTAAAAGGGCAAATTTTTAAAAATTTCCATAAATTTTCTCTGTGAAAAAACATGCATAAAAATGAAATTCTACTTTTTTCTCTTACTTTGTAGATCAAAACATGTGTGCTATAATCATAAACACTCATGAAGAATCGTAGAGAATTATTTCAAAAGCAACATAGTGCTTAAGGTAGTGTAAAATGTGAAAAAAATCTGATTTTGAGATAAACGCTTTTAAAGACTTTGAAATTACTATTCTATCCACTGTTATCACCTTTCACAAAAATTGCTTAAACTATGTAAGTAAATAGAATTCAAACAAAAGTAAAGTATTTTCAGATTGCTAAGAGTACAGGGATTTTAAACGTAGAATAAACTCAATTTCAAAAATTTTGTTCAAAATCATGCTTTTGCACTTTACCTCAATAAAGATTATAACATAAAACAAGCAATCAGATAGATATGAAACAGAAATACATGATCAGATCAAATGTAATAAAATCTAATGAGCATAATGTAAGCAAATCTTCAAATTTGATGCAAAATTGTGAATTTGTATGCAAGTATTTGAAGTTATAAAAAAGAAAAACATGTATAAGCGTATATTTAAAATTTAAATTAATTCATGAAATATTATAAAATGTATAAATTTTGAAACATCCCATTTTGTGATTTATAAAATTACTAGTGATTTTTTTAATAATAATTTATTCAATAGCCAACCAAAGTTATTATATTCTGTGTTTATAATCATAATTATGCATTTATTATAAAAAATTCAATTAATCCTATTTTAGAAATGAAATCGATGCGAATTTAATAACAGTGAAACATTTACTAAAATTATTTTTTCAAGCGTATAAATTTTAATCATCCAATAATGTAGGAGACACGTTAGTAATTTTATTTTTATTTTGTTACTTATTTTAATTTTGTTACTTTTTTAATTTAGTTTTTACCATTGATTTTCAGTTTTTAGAAAAATACTTTATGACACAAACAACGGTGGATTGGTACTTTTCAAAAGCTTTTAAGGGTAAAAACTATCCAATGGCTTTTAGTTACATACGATAAATGCAAATAGCCAAATAATTGAGTCATATAGGGAAAAATTTAATTAAAAAAAGAAATTGTGATAGAAATTTTTATTTTAAAGCTCATAAAATCCTAAGTTATAATATATATTTATTAATATTACTAATAATATAAACAAAACTGCCTTTCACTTTTTACAGATTTCAACAAATTTATTATCGTTATGGCGATTGTTTTATTAGAGTCTTTTTAACAATAGTAAAATTTACATAAAGCCTAAAATAAATAAACTAGTTTCTAATATATTTAGTTTACTATAGTAATTAGAACATTCGACTTCCTAAATTAGTATCAAAAATATCACTTTAAATTATGTGAGATAATTCGAGGTGCCCAAATTTTTAGTTTATCACTTAGAAAATAATTAAATAAGTAAAATAATTAATTGTAAACAAAACTAAAAGACATTTTTCAAATTTTTAAAGTTTTAATAATAACTAATGTCTTGAAAATCTTTCCAGAAAAACTATTATATAAAATATCTTTCAAGTGAAAAAAATTAAAAATTTTCAAAATAAAGAAGTAATATTAAGAAAAAAAAACTCTTACCCAAATGTTGTGTACTATTTTCATGTTGAGCGTACCATTAATGGTCGGCCGTCAAAATCGATTACTTCACTGTAGAAAAGAATAGAATAAATCGTGTTTAAAAACAAACAACATTAAGGGTGGACGAAAATGATTTTGTTCGCTATCGTTCAAAAATGAGGTTACCAATTCCCGAGGAAAAAAACATTCTCACAGTCAGGTCGCCAATAATGATTGCCAAATTTTCTCATGAATTTTAGGAGATTACTTTCGTTACCTGTAGAAAGCGAAAGTTGATTATGCAGGAAATAAATTGGAGCAAAAAGCTGTCCTAAAGAAGAAAAATAAAAGTGTCTTATCCTATTTGAATAAAAGAGCCTTTGAACTTTCTGTCACGTATTATTGTCCAAAATAGATAGGATTCGTTAAAGGAATTCTGGTTAAATAGACGATTTCACGCGATCGTTTTTGAAACTGTTAAAATATTACTGGAATAAAAGTGTCTCAAACTTATGGTCAAGTTTGATGTCTAAAATAGATAAGAACGATAAAGGAATATTAGAATGGACAGTTCAACGTGATCGTTTTCAATTTTTTTTTTTTAATTATCTAAAAGTTACTGCTGTTGTCAAAGCTGTTTTATCAAATTTTTTGCCAGCGTGCTTCTCACCACCTTACTTAAATAATAAATGAAACAATATGAAATTTCGCACATTTCTAGCGAAATGTTTAAAATACATTCTGATATAAAAATGTGAAAATTTAAATATAAACTAAACAAATGTTAAAGATACGATATTTATGGGTTAATTTAAGAATATACAATATTTTATGGTTATTTTAACTGTAATTTTCTCTTTGTTGATTTTATATGCAGACGTGTTATTTTCAGTGCTTTTTTTTCCAGAATACTTTTGACTTTAGTTATTTTCGTTTTAAACTACTTGTTTCTCTGGATATTCAAATTTATTTTGAGGTATTGTATTACATTCTCATTTTGTTTACCATTATGGGGCCTCGAGGCACAGTAAATTTTTGGTTTAACCACTGACTACAGAAAGATCTTCAGTATCTTAGCATAGCAGTTTGTTCCCTGATGAAGTACTGTTTGTGCTGACATGCGCATCTTTAACATTTTCTTGGTTAATTTAACATTTGCTTAATTCAATTTTCATACTTATATCACATAAAAAATGCTAAGTTACGTAATATTATGTCATGTTACTTACCCACTCCTAAATGAGTAATTTTATGTCATAGTTGAGGGCCGGGATAGCCTGGTAGGTAGGGCGGTGGGTCCATGTCCGAGAGTTTGTGGGTTCGAACCCCGCCGGCCGAAGACTCTTCGTTTAGTAAATGGTGTCTGATGCACGTTAAATCTGTCGAGTCGCAAAGTCCTCCATGTTCCCATAACAAATCAATACCTCTGGGGGTACTGGATTGGAGATCGATCGTTATCTGATTCAGGTCAAAAATTTCGATCTGTGGATAAATTAATGGATGCATGAATGGGTCCGCCCTATAAGTGGGTGCGACGTGTGTGTAGCTGAAGACGAATTCTTGGCCATCGATGGCTCCACTGAAATAAAAAACAAGTAACACACCCTCTGCCTTAAATTTGCTTGGCTTCACCAAGCAGGCTTGCTAGTGTGGCAAATGGCATTAGAAACAACAACAACATGTCAAAGGTGAAGATTTTTTTTATTGAATATCGCAATTTAACTTGACTAAAACTATTAACAAAGGAATGTAGGATTTTTTTCAGCTACATACTCTTATGTCTGTAAAACTTTGTCTAAATTTCTAATTACAAATTTCTAATAACATTTTTCTTATTATATCTCTTTCTAATTATATTTCTATTATAAATTTCTAATTTTTAATTGTTTTAATTTCTGATTATAAATTTCTAATTTTTAATTGTTTTAATTTCTAATTATAAATTTCTAATTATATTGCGATCGAATAATTAAACGATATGCAATTATTCGGCTATATGTGATAGGAAATGACGAATTTCGAATTTTTCAACATAAAGGGAAATCTAACTGTAGTAAAAGTATAATGCTTTGCGAAAAGTATAGTGCCTACGAACTGTAATCGGAGTTCCAAAAAAAAACTGACTGAACCTGTTATTTCAATTATGTTTTTGCAAAGTCTATCAATATAAAGGTTTCTGAGATCGCTATTTTAAGAATATATAGTTAGAATTTCAATATTCAAAATGACGGATGCAAAAGAAGGAATTTTTAGAGATAAAAATTGAATGTGCCTAATAAATCATGAACATCCATTCATTTGCAAGGAATTAATTTTAAATTTATTTACTTACGATTCAAATGTTTAAAAATATATAATTGTAATTTAAAATTTTAGCCTCTTTCAAGTCGATTTTGAAAGTTTAGCTAACTCACTACCCGGTAAAAATTAAAAATTTAACTTGTAAAATTTTCCGATTTTGATTTCATTTTATCCATGAACTTTTTTTTTAGGTTAATTTTTGATTCTATTATCTTGTAGGTTGCGTTTAAATAATTTAAACTTATTTAATGCTGGGAAAAAAATCAAAAGAATAAATAAATAAAAAAGAAATAAAGCAACACTTTTTGGAATTGAATTTTGCTTTTTGGTATCTAAACAACACATGCCTGTAGTTATACATTTATTTTGAATATTTTTAGTTATGTAAAATATTTTAAATTGAGGATAGAGAAAATGAGGAAATAAAGCGAGCTGAAATGAACGGAGCAAGCGATTCTGAGGATTGACGAATGATAATGAGCAAGAAGGGGGATATAATATAATTTTACTAAGAAAACATTACTTAATGAGTTACTTTACGCCAAGGTCAAATGCTCCTTTTTTATTGCAGTAAGTAATTTACTTTAGAGTAATCTATTAAAAAGGGATCTTTGATTTTATTTTTAGTTATAGCTCATAATAAACGATATATCGCTCATGGGCTGCAATAGTGGCACAACTCAACAAACACGCGTTTTCTACTAAGAACAGGTGTAAATATAAAAATACACATTCTTTTCAGCAGCAATACTAGCACAACTCATAATTCAACTTGAAGATAATCATCGTTTAAGCAAACTAAAGCATTTCCTGTGCATTTTGCTTCGCAATGAAAACTTTAAACCCACTTATTTCAAATCTTCCTTTCTTGAGTTGTGCCAANCGGAACATATCCTAAGATGAAGTACTGTTTGTGCTGACATGCGTATCTTTAACATTTGTTTAGTTTTTACTTAAATTCTCACATTTTTATTTAAATTGTTTACTTAAGACAATTTTGGTTTTAGCTGCTTATAGCGATTTTCTATTTTGACTTATTTTACTTAAATTTTGGTCTTCATTTTTGTTTAATTCAATTTACATACTTACATTAGATAAAAATGCTATGTTACGTAATATTATGTCATATTACTGACCCACCCATTAATGAGTAATTTTTTGCCAAAGTTGAGGGCCGGAATAGCCTGGTCGGTAGGGCTCTGGGCCCATGTCCGAGAGTTCGTGGGTTCGAACCCCGCCGGCCGAAGACTCCTCGTGTCGTAAATGGTGACTGATGCGCGTTAAATCTTTCGAGTCGCAAAGTCCTCCATGTTACCATAACAAATCAATACCTCTGGGGGTACTGGATGGGAGATCGATTGTTCTCTGATCCAGGTCAAAAATTTCGATCTGTGGATGAATGAATGGATGTATGAATGGGTCCGCCCTATAAATGGGTATAACGTGTGTGTGGCTGAAGACGAATTCTTGGCCATAGATGGCGCCACTGAAAAATAACAAGTAACGCACCCTCTGCCTTAAATTTGCTCGATTTCACCAAGCAGCCTTGCTAGTGTGGCTAGTGACATTAGAAAAAACAACAACAACATGTCAAAGTTAAAGCTTTTTTTTATTGAATATCGTAATTTAATTTGACTAAAACTATTAGCAAGGGAATAAGGACTTTTTTTCAGCTACATACTCTTATGTCTGTAAAACTTTGTTTAAATTTCTAATTATATTGCAATCGAATAATTAAACGACATGCATTTATTCGACTATAGGTGATAGGAAATGACGAATTTTGGATTTTTCAATACAAAGGGAAATCTAACTGTAGTAAAAGTATAACGCTTTGCGAAAAGTATAATGCCTACGAACTGTAATCGGAGCTCGAAACAAAAACTGACCAAACCTGTTATTTCAATTATGTTTTTGTAAAAACTATGAATATAAAGGTTTCTGAGATCGCTATTTTAAGAATATATAGTCAAAATTATATCAATATTCAAAATGACTGATACAAAAGAAGGAATTTTAAGAGCTAAAAATTGAATGTGCCTTATACTTCTATTCATTTGCAAGGAATTAATTTTAAATTTATTTATTCACGATCCAAATGTTTAAAAATATACAACTGTTATTTAAAATTTTATCCTCATTTAAGTCGATTTTGAAAGTTTAGCAAACTCACTAGCCGGTAAAAAACAAAAATTTATAAATTTAATTTTTAAAATTTTCCAATTTTGATTTCATTTTATCCTTGAACTTTTATTTTATGTAATTTTTTATTCTATTTTCTTGTAGGTTGTGTTTAAATAATTTAAACTTATTTAATGCTGGGAAAAAATCGAAAAAATGAATAAACAAAAAATAAATAAAACAACACTTTTTTTAATTGAATTTTGATTTTTGGTATCTAAGCACATGCCTGTAGTTATACATTTATTTTGAATGTTTTTAGTTATGTATAATATTTTAAATTGAGGATAGAGAAAATGAGGAAGTAAAGCGAACTGAAATGAACGGCGCAAGCTATTCTGAGGATTGACGAATGATAATGAGCAAGAAGGGGGATCTCTTAATATAATTTTACTAAGAGAACATTACTTAATGAGTTACTTTACGCCAAGGTCAAATGCTCCTTTTTTTATTGCAGTACATAATTTACTTTAGAGTAATATATTAAAAAGGGTTCTTTGATTTTTTTAAAATTATATCTCATAATAAACGATATATCGCTCATGGGCTGCAATAGTGGCACAACTCAACAAACACGCGTTTTCTACTAAGAACAGGTGTAAATATAAAAATACAGCAGCAATACTATAGCACAACTCATAATTCAACTTGAAGGTAATCTTCGTTTAAGAAAACTAAAACATTTCCTGTGCATTTTGCTTAGTAATGAAAACTTTAAACCCACTTATTTCAAATCTTCCTTTTTTGAGTTGTGCCACTATTGCAGCCCATGAGTGATATATTTGATTTTCAAATTACTTGGAGTAATTAAATTGTAAATTATTGCAATTGTGAGCCACCTATCGATCTGTAAATTAAATGCACTGGGAGATTTCATGAAG